ATAGTACACTCAATTCCCTCATCCAAGTCCCCATATGTAGGAACAGTTTCAGGCCTCTGTAAGTGTGTGTGTATGTGTATATGTTATATATATATTCTGCTGTACAGAATGCAAAGATGTGTAAGTGATTCAGATTAGCTAACCATTAGGAATTCCCTGTATATTTTGAAAATACCACCTTTTTGTTGTTTCTTTAGTGCATAAGGACTACTCTACTACTCTACTACTCTTCTGTGCAATATAGGTCCTGTGGTGAGGGGGATGGAGCCAAGGCTAAGAATTTCTCTTTGCTGAGGCACTGATTGGCCACCTGAAGGGACCTTATACGTGGTCCTCTAAGTGGAGTTTGGCCGCAGTGGAAGATAAGCATTGTATCTTAGCAGAAGTGCTTTGGAAACATTAAAACAGTTGTAACTGTGCCACTTGGAGGGATAAAGACTTTTTATGGTAATACAGCTCTTTCCAATGTATATCTATAGTTTCCACTGTATTTAGCACAGGATCTTCCCATTTTTCTTGTGGCAGAGGTGGGAAATGCATTTGGAATCAGCAGGCTCCCAGCTGGGGCCCAGGTACAATGCCTGAGGAGCGATTCCTCTCTTCATGGCTGTTTTGCCCCGAGAAGACCAGCAAACCAGGTGGCTTCTTTCCACATGGGGCTCTCCTGGACCTGCTAGCATGGGATCTTCTGTTTGATGCGGAGAGCAAAACATACCCTGTGCTGATGAGATCTCTGCATGATTTAGGTTACAAATGTGGTTAGAGAGGTGCTGTTCACTTTGCTTACCATCTGGGATTTATGCCTTTTTGCTTAGCTACGGAGACTCATGCCATGCTGAGGACATGCTGTCTAATAAGACCTTGCGTTTCTATAATATAACATGATGAAACTAATTTAAGATTTCCTTCCAGTTATCCTTTTCCTACGGCTTATTATCAAGACACTTAAAAGTTTTTCACTCACTCAGCTCCATGCTTCTTTATTTCTTTCAGGCTGTGACTCGTCGCTGAACCTGACATCTCAGAAAGCCACAAATGCAGTGGACTATATCTTTCAGTCCCTCAGGGATATTGCAAGAGCTCGAATGCACATGAAACAGTTTAATTCCATACATAATCCAGGCAGCAACACCCTCCAGGCAAGTGGATCTTTCTTTTCCCCATATATTTTCTTTCTCTATCATGTTGTCAGTATTACAACACTAATTTTGCTGATGTGCTAATCCTATATGTGTTCTGCCCATATGGAAGATATTTAATTATAGTCAAGTCCTTCATCCAAACTCAGGCAAAGAATTTTCTAAGAAAGAAATTTGGGATTTGCTCTGCAGCACTGTTATGACATAAATGCCTGTGAAAGGCAGGGCGAGGTCAAGACAGTTCTGGACTAAGATGTCTAATGACATAGCAGAGCAAGATGCCTGCATCCATACAGCAGCTGTATTCCTGTGTATTTTCTCTGCCATCCCTATAAGTGCTAAAGGCAGTCCTTGTTGTAAGTAGGTGAAAAATGCAGCTTTTTTTTTCTAAGATATGAACACGTTAACTATGATGTTACTATAAGTCATCAGGACTAATATACAGTGGTTTTCTCTCTTCCTATCTCCCCCAAAGTGTTTTAACTTTTTCAGTTAAAAATAGAGATTTACAATGGAAAACACATACAGTGATTTAGAGAGAGATGGTGAAACTTGATTCCAGCCTTGAGCCAGAAATAAATCCTCCCAAACTCATAAGTATGCTGTGGACTAGCAAAGGGATGTAGTTCAAATTCAGCAATGCTTTGTAAGAACAGGACTTGGGAGTGTTGGAAATTGTCACTGGAAAGCTGAGGTGGAGAAGACCTGTTACTGAAGTGTCCTGGCAGTTATGATCAGTCTGGTGTCTGAAATGGGGAAAATTGTTGAACATTTAATACAGCTCAGGAGCAGAGGGGCAATCAGATGTTAGGAAAGTTTTCTGGAAGTGTAATCAGCGTCAGTGCGTTCTTTGGATGTAACCCACGGTGTTTGCTTAGGGCTAAGTGCTGGAACACAGCAAGGGATGTATTAACACCTTGCAGCCCCCTAATGTCGCTACGCAATTAATTTAATTGCTTGAATAGGACCAACCCTCTGCTAAGGGCATTTCAGGAGGTTTAGAGTAGCAGAATTAAGCAGACAGTACATTTTTTTTCCATCATACATACAGCTTTCTACAAACTGACCTCTCTTTTGACTGGCACTGGTTGCGTGCAGCCATTTAGCTCCTCTGCAGAGGCAGTGCGCTTCCCATGGCCATGCGTGTTCCCCACCCAACTTTGTGCTATGGGAGTGGGTTTAGCCTGTAGGTGCTTTTCCACTTTATCTGCTAGGAGCTAGGAAGCCTCTGTTTCTTTTAAAATTCAAGGAAGTTTTCTATAGATAAGGAAGTAGGAACTGGATAACCTCTCAGAAGGACTTTTTGTAGCATTAAGTTTATGTTTTATATAAAATGACAGATGAATGTTTTCATCAGGATATCCAACCAGTTTGTGTAGTGACCATGCAAGAGAAGAGTACTTATTTTGCCTGATAGTGTAACTACTGTTCTTTCTTTCATCTTGATCATAAATTTCTTTCTCCTCTCCTCTCCTCTCCTCTCCT